TCCAAATTTTCTGTAGAGCCGAGAATTCAACCTCTATAGAGCACTCACAAATTTGCATTGAATTTTGAGTTGATTTGGTAGGACATACTTATAAAATGTATCATATGCCTCACAGTCTTCTAAAATAAAGTACAAAGCATGCTTTAATGATTTTTATTTAGATGATCATTACTAACATAAGTTATTATATTACTGCAGATTGTTTCCCCTATACTAAATACATCTATTCTATTCTGCTAATAAATTTTACATCTTCAAGGTAGCTACTTTCAATCAGCTTTGTGTGTCAACACCAGATAACTAAGATTGTTGGAATTCTGTATACTTAATGTACAAAGCAAACTGATTCTGAATGAAGAACTGAATGACTTGATTATAAGTATATGGATAGATTTTGTAATCTCTTTTACAGTTGGTCATAAATTCTTTTTAATTCATTATCTGCCTGTTTGCTGCCTTCAGAATAAGTGAAGGTACTGGAAGAATTATAAATTTTTTAAAAATTTAATATGCAAAAGTAATCACTCTGCTTCTTCATTTTATTTCTTCCTAGTTAATTCTATATTATAATTCATTGGATCAAATTAAAATTCAAGCACTTAAGTTTTTTATTTTCTATTTTAATTGGACACTAGATGCTTTACCAATTTCTTTGCAGTATTAGAGTCTAACGTGTATGTGTGTGTGTGTATGTGTGTGTGTATCAGTAGTCTCTGGAAATGGTCTCTAACATATATATATATATCAATAGTCTTTGGAAATGGTCCCCTGGGTATACTGGCATACTTTGTTTTACTGTGCTTCATTTCATTGTACTTTACAGATATTGTACATTTTCAAAATTGAAGGCTTGTGAAAATCATGCATCTAGAAAGCTCTCAGTGCCATTTTCCCAAAGTCATTGCCTACTTCATGTCCATGTCACGTTTTGGTAATATATTATTTGTCATACTACTGTGGTCGGTGATCTTTGATGTTATTACAATGACTTGCTAAAAGCTCATACACTTGCTAGTAATTTTTAGTAATGAAGTATTTTAAAATTAAGATGTGTATACCTTTAAAAGATATGATGATATTATATATTGTTAGGCTGTAGTATAGTATAGTGACCTTCCTGGTGGCTCAGAGGTTAAAGCGTCTGCCTACAGTGCAGGAGACCTGGGTTCGACCCCTGGGTTGGGAAGATCCCCTGGAGAAGGAAATGGCAACCCACTCCAGTATTCTCGCCTGGAAAATCCCATGGACAGAGGAGCCTGCTAGGCTACAGTCCATGGGGTCGCAAAGAGTGGGACACAAGTGAGCGACTTCACTTCACTATAGTATAGTGTAAGCATAACATACATCATGTACTAGGAACCCATGTACTAGGAAACCAAAAAATTTGTATGACTCGCTCTATTGCAATATTCTCTTTATTGTGCTGGTTTTGAATGACACCCACAATATCATTTGCCTGTTGAGCAAATGAAGGAATACTTACTCAATACATTTTACCAACATTTGGCAAGAACAGTGAGAACTTGCAGTTTTTGAGCTAAGACCTATTTCTTCCACTCACATTTCCAGTTCAGCTAGAAGAAAATCTCAGTCCAGACTCACAAAGACACAGGGCTCCTTGTCCTGTCAATGCCCAGATGGAGAACTCTCTTCCTGGATTGGGTAGGATGTCAGCATTTCTCATCCTGCCTTCAGGATGTGTTGCTGAGGCTAAGTTCTAGGTGAGTGTAGCTGATTACTGTAGAATCTCATCTTTCACTCAGCCCTCACCTGTGGGACAGAAAGTCTGCCTTGGGCATGGAGCTGAGCATCTTTCCTTTAGCAATGCTTCCATGGCAGCAGAGGCGAGCATAGAAGATCTAACTAAGACTATTGTTTTCTGTCCACTGAGCACTAAACCACCAAAGCAGTGATGTCATCCAGTGAGAAGTGCATTATACCCAAGCCCCACTGAAAATCCAAGGCTCAGACATTTTTCTTGGGAGCAAAAGCAGGATATGAGGTATACAACAGATTGTTCTTCTTACTCCAACAGGCTGCTTTATTTGAAGGGGACATGGGTTTGACCTCTGGTCTGGGAACTAAGATCCCACATGCCATGGGGCAACTGAGCCCATGTGCCACAACCACTGAGCCCACACTCTACAGCCTGCAAGCCACAGCTACTGAAACCCAATGGCCTAGAGCCCATGCTCCACAAGAAGAGAAGCCACCACAATGAGAAGTCTGCCTTCAGCAGCGAGAGAGCAACCCCTTTGCTTACTGCTGCTAGAGAACCTGTGCACTGCGATGAAGACCCCGTGCAACCACAACAGAACACAGCAAAGCAGACCAACCTACCAACCAACCAAAAAACAAAAAAATCAGTGGAATCTGTAGTAAAAGACAAAAAGGAAAAGACTGGCAGAGTCATTTCCATATAAGCAACTATAGGCTGGTTAGTTGCCCTGTGAAAACCTGGGAAAGAGACAGAGGGGAAGAGCTTTATTGGGGTTCAAGCACATCTCAACACTAACCTAAAGAAAGATTCTTTCAAAGGAGTCTGTTATTGATGAATATACTGTTTTGAGTTATTTATGCCTCAAGATACTATTCATAACAATAGAGATCAGCAATTAATGGAATTTAAGAGGCAGCTGTGGTTAAGGAAATAAATGGTCGAAGAGAATCAAGCTAAAGCCACTATCACTCCAGGTAAACTTGGGCATAAACAAGACTGTGGCTCTTCAAGAACATTGGGAAGCAGAATAGATTAAAATTAAATAATCCAGTCAATCACTAAACAAATAAAAGAAATAATAATAAACTACAACAAATTTTGGGGGTGGGAGGGACAGAATTACTACAACATATTTTAGCTAAAGCAGTGACAAATGAAAAACAGTAGCAATAAAACCCAGAAAAGAATGGTTGATATATGACTTCAAATATGTTTTCTGTTCTGTTCATTGTTTGTTCTACTTTGACATTCCAATTGCAAATATATCTTTTAATTTATCCCACAGATCTTCTAGGTGCTATTGTGTTTTCAGTTTTTGTTGTTTTTTGTTATTGTTTTTATTTGAATCAAAAGAATATGTTAGAAGAATAAGTGAAAAAGAGTATTCATTAGAAATTTTAATAAAGTAGTGATGATAACAGAAAATTAATAACTTTTACTTTAAGGGCCAGTAAAAGTTATTCATTTTCTGTTACTATCTTTATTTTTTTTTAATTTCTAACGAATTCTTTTTTCATTTATTCATCTAACACATTCTTTTGATTCTTTCTTAGAATTGCTGTATCCCCTTACATGATCAATCTGTCCTTGTATGCTGTCTTCCTTTTCAATAGATCTCTTAAAATGTTGTTCTTGATTATTTTAAATTTATTGGGTGATAATTACAAAATCTGTGTCATAACTGAGTTTGATTCTGATGCTTGCTTTGTCTCCTCACAGTGTGTTTTTTTATTGCCTTTTCTCAAAGCATGTAATTTTGATTTCTGAAAGCCAAACATGTTATATCAGATAAAAGAAATCCCAATAAACAGCATTTTAGCTTAAGAATTATATTAACCTTACTAGGATATAGCCCATATTAGCTATGAGTGTCTGAGGCATCAAATTTCTCTACAGCTTTCATTGTTGTCTCTGCTCTGTACTGTATATTGTGAAATTATCTAAGAATTCTTCCTCAGAGAACCTACATCTTGCCATTCTTTCAACTGTTGTTGTTGTTCAGTGAACTCTTGTGTCTGACTCTTTGTGACCCCATGGACTGCAGCACACCAGGCTTCTCTGTCTTTCACCATCTCTGGGAGGTTGCTCAAACTCTTGTCCATTGAGTCAGTGATGCCATCCAACCATCCTGTCTTCTGTCATCCCCTTCTCCTCCTGTTTTCAATCTTTCCCAGCATCAGGGTCTTTTCTAATGAGTCGGTTCTTCTCATCAGGTGGCCAAAGTATTGGAGCTTCAGCTTCAGCATCAGTCCTTTCAATGAAATTCAGGACTGGCTTGATCTCCTTGCAGTCCAAGGGACTTGCAAGAGTCTTCTCCAACACCACAGCTTTTCAACTGTAATCCATTATTATCACGGATCCCAGTTGGTGGGGTGGTTGGTTTGGGGAGGAGGAACATTCTATAATCTTCTAAATAAGTCTAAGCCATTTAGTGGGACCTGTGTCTCTGCACTGTAGACTTCAAAATGATCCCCAACCCCTCACCCAGCCCCTGCTTCTTCCATTCAAACAGCTTTTACTCCTTGCTGACTTTCCTGGCAACATTCCCAATCTATTTTATTGAATTCCTACTCCCTGTTGAAAAGTGTTTCCTCTACCCCCTCAGGTAAGATAGGAAAGCCTAAGGGGCTGGAAAGAAAGTGAAAGTTGTTGAGTCCTGTCAAACTCTTTGTGACCCCATGGACTATACAGTCCATAGAATTCTCCAGGCCAGAATACTGAAGTGGATAGCCTTTCCCTTCTCCAGGTCTTCCCAACCAAGGAATGGAACCCAGGTCTCCACATTGCAGGTGGTTTATTTAGCAGCTGAGCCACAAGGAAAACCCAAGGACAGGAGGAGGGTAAAATTTCCTTCTCCCAGCTGAGATATGGCCTCGGAATTGAGCTTAGGTAAAGTACTTTCATTCCTTCTTCTACCACAGGCCATACTCTTGAGAGCTGGGTAGAAAATGTCCTGGGATCCTATTACATTATGTGATATGTCTCCTGTCAGGGCTATGAGGGAATGTTCTCAGATCTTCAAAGTGAAAACTGTATGAGGGCTCCACTAAGAACCCAAGGAGATTTTGTTACCCAAGTCCAGACTGAGTCTCCACAATTAAACAAAATTACCATTTATTTTTGCTTCTCTGCATGCTCAGTCGCTTCAGTTGTGTCAGACTCTTTGCAAACTCGTGGACTGAGTTTGCAGCCTCCTTTGTCCACGGGATTCTCCTGGCTAGAATCCTGGAGTGGGTTGCCATTTCCTACTCCATTATTTGCTCATACCAGGTTATAACTCGAAAGGATTCTGCTCCAGGTAGCCAGACCTGAGTTTCTTTATGTAGATGTATCTGGGGTGTCAGTCTGCCCTGTGACTTCAGTCATCTGGTAAGTAGAAAGTTGTCAGTTTTCATGTTGTTCAACTTTCTTGATGTAAGGATAAAAATAGCAACTTTACATAAAATTCACATAAAATTTACATAGAATTTACATTAAAATTTACATTAAAAAGCTCTTTACATATTGGAGCTAAAACCACTTTTTACCTTAAAAGTTTTCATCCAACTGGAATTTATTTTGATGTAAAAGATTAAGTAGACAGTTTATTTTTATTAATCTGGCTACTGAGTCTTTCCAATATCATTGATTACATTATCTATTTTTATGATCAGCTTTTAATTTTTCACATTTATTATTCTCAGAATTCCTATTTGGATTGACTCAAATATTTATAATAATAGAATTCCTGAGCTCTATGAAATTTTGTTTTTGTTGCTATAATACCTGATTTTGAAAACAGAATAGTAATAGAATCATGATCAAGGGAAATAATTTATCTAGTGACATAATCCAGTGCCACCAGTGAAAATTATGTTATAAGATAGTGGCTACTAAATGGTTATAAAATGGTAAGTACTTAATAATTAATGGAAGATAATCATTTAATCTAACACATATAATATTGAACTTTGAGAAATTTGACAATTAAAGATCACAGTGATAAAATAGACTCCCTGATTAACTTGAGACAAGTTTTAACTTAACATTAACAATTATTGACATAAACAATCTTGGCATATGCTTCATCCAAAGACTGAGGATGTTTTCACACTGTAATTGGTTTTTAGTTCACCCATTTAAGTCAGCAGTGTAAAAAATTCTAGTCTCTTAGAGGCTAGTCCAGCAAGTTATTCTTTTTCAATCACCCAAATCCAGAGTTTATATTTAAGCTATACAGTGGTTGTTAACCAATCTAGTATGACACTATTATAGGGCAGATGAAGTTTCCTTTCATAAAGATAGTTTATGCTTGATTTTATTTAATATTCTTACATATCCTGGGTGAAAGCAGAGAAAATAATCAAGCATTGTGTTATGAGCCATTGAAGTCAATTTGAATAATAGAGTTAGCTTTGAAGATGTAAGTGCTATTGAAAATATTCTCAATTTTATGTGACATTAAATGTTGAGATGTAATCACACTCATCTCAAAATTCTACAAGTTTCATACTGTAAGTATTTTTGAATATAATTAAAGCATTAATTAGAAAGACTTCATTTAAACACATTTTCACTTTTACAAACATGTTCAGACTATTTTCTTTATTGCAGCTCCCATTATATTATAGGCCATGATCACAATGACACTGCATTCTCAGACAATACAAAGTGAAACAAAACACAACCTCCAATTACCTTTATTTTCTTTCAATTTCTGACTTTTCAATCTTCTCTGAGCTAAACTTTTAAAGAGTGGTAATTTTTGTCTTCATTCCTTTATTTTTGCCTTACCCTTCACTCACTGGTAAGAAAATGTTGTTAAGTTTTCAGATGATGTCCAGGATTCTAATGGAGTGGTCTCCTATCTTACTTTTTCTTTCTCTCTACAAGTCAGCAGCTGTGACCAAGGCCTCTTTCATCTCGCACTCTCATCTATGGACTTTCTTATCACTGGCAATTGCAGTCTTATAAAAATCCAGAATCTATTAGGATTTTTAGTTTAATATTCTGCCCAATATTATGTTGGCTTTTTCCACTGCAGATTCACAAAGATGTATAAAAGCACATTCCATTCTCTTGACAAATATTGTTAATAGACTTTCAAATATCAAAAAATATCAAAATACTAGTTGACACAGCTTCAGTGCTGCCCGGCCCCAACTTGGACCCCTTCCATCCTCCTCTGCTCCTCTCTGTGTCAGAGTCTGGGGCCCTGGACTGGGCTTCTGGCAGTGGGCCTGGGTGTCAGGGCAGGAGGGTATGAACCCAAGCATGCCCAGCTGGCATGTCTGGCTGGGTGTGACAGCTTCTGCTGCCATTTTCCAAGGCCCTCAGAACTCCCCAGAGAGAGACCAGAGTGGTTCCAAGCCATCCCAGCATTCACTTAGGTTTATTAAGATGGAACACTTCAGACAGGCCTTCTAAAAATCAAGAAAAGGAAAAACAGAATATTACAAACTCTGGGGCAAAAAAATAAAAACAAGAACAACATGCCTCCTGGACAGAAACCACAATCACAGAAAGCTAATCAAAATGAAAAAGTACAGGATTATGTACCACATGAAGGAACAAGATAAATCCCCAGGTAAACAACTAAATGAATGGCAATAGGCAAACTTCCAGAAAACGAATTCAGAATAGTGATAGTGAAGATGATCCAAGATCTCAGAAAAAGAATGGGGCAGATGCAAGAAATGTTTACCAAAGACCTAGAAGAACTAAAGAATGAACAAACAGAGATGAGGAATACACTAGAATAAATCAATAAACAGAATAACTGAGGCAGAAGAACAGATAAATCACCTGGAAGACAGAAAGGTGGAAATCACTGCTGGAAAACAAAATATAAGAAAAAATGAAAAGAAATGAAGACAGTCTAAGAGACATCTGGGACAACATTAACTGCACCAACATTCACATTATTATAGGGGTCCCAGAAGGAGAAGAGAGAGAAAGAATCCAAGAAAATATTTGAAGAGATAATAGGTGAGAATTTCCCTCATGAGAAAGGAAATAGTCAACCAAATTCAGGAAGCACAGAGTCTCCCAGGCAGAATAAAACCAAGAAAGAATACACCAAGACGCATAGTAATCAAACCAACAAAAATTAAAGGTGAAGATAAAATATTAAAAACAACAAGGAAAATGACAAATAGCATACAAGGGAGATTTCATCAGGCTATCAGCTGATTTCTCAACAGAAACTCTCTACAGGCCAGAAGGAATGGCACAATATATTCAAAGTCATGAAAGAGAGAAACTTACAACCAAGAACAATCTACCCAGCAGGGCTATCATCAAGATTTGCTGGAGAAATCAAAATTTTTATGGGCAGACAAAAGTTAAGAGAATTTGGCACCATTAAACCAGCTTTACAACTAATGCTAGAGGAACTTCTCTAGGCAGGAGAAACAAGAAGGAAAAAACCTACAAAAAATAAACCCAAAACAATTAAGAAAATGGTAATAAGATCATACATATTGATAATTACCTTAAATGTAAATAGATTAAATGTACCAACCAAAAAACATAGACTAACTGAGTGGATACAAAAATGAGACCCATATATATGCTGTCTAGAAGAGACCCACCTCAGACCTAGGGACACTTACATACTGAAAGTAAGGAGATGGGAGAAGGTATTCCACACAAATGGAAATCGAAAGAAAGCTGGAGTAACAATACTCATATCAGACAAAATAGACTTTAACATAAAGACTGCTTGCTAAAAGAGACAAAGAACAACACTACATAATGATAAAATGTTCAATATAAGAGGAAGATATAACAATTATAAATATATATGGACCCAATACAGGAGCACCTCAACATGTAAGGCAAATATTAACAACCACAGAGGGAGAAACTGACAGCAGCACCATAAAAATGGGGGACTTTAATACCTACTTTTATCAACGGACAGATCATCTGTACAGAAAATTAATAAGGAAACACAGGCCTTAAATGCCACTTCAGAGAAGTTGGACTTAATTTATATTTATACAACACTCCATCAAAAAAGAGCAGACTACACATTCTTCTCAAGTGCACATGGAATATTCTCCAGGATTGACCACATGCTGGGCCACAAGGTGAGCCATGGTAAATTTAAGAGAATTTAAAGAAAAGATGCTTGAAATTATATCAAGAATCTTTTATGACTACATAGCTCTGAGATTAAAGATAAACTACAAAAAAAAAAAAAAAAAGACCTTAAAAAGCCCAAACACATGGCAGCAAACAATATGCTACTAAACAATTAATGGATCACAGAAGAAATCAAAGAGAAAATAAAAGAGAATACTTAGAGACATATGAAAATGAAAACACAATGGTCCAAACCTATCAGATATAGCAAAAACAGTGCTAAGAGGAAAGGTTATAGCAATACAAGCTGACTTGAAGAAACAAGAAAAACCTCAAATAAACAACCTAACCTTACATCTAAAACAACTAGAGAAAGAACACACAAAATCTAAAATTAGTAGAAGGAAAGAAATCTTTAAGATTAGAGCAGAAATAAACGGGAGACAATGAAAACAATCACAAAGATTAATGAAACAAAAAGCTGGCTCTTTGGAAAGATAAGCAAAGTTGATAAACCTTTAGCCAGACTCATCAAGATAAAAAGGGAGAAGACTCAGATCAATACAATTAGAATGGAAAAAGGATACACCACTACTGACTCCACAGAAATGCCAAGAATCATAAGAGACTACTATGAGCAAATGTATGCCAATAAATTGGACAGCCTAGAAGAAATGGACAAACCCTTTGAAAGGTACATTCTCTCAAAACTGAATCAGGAATAAATAGAAAATATGAATAGACCAATGAGAAGCACTGAAATGGAAATTGTGATTTAAAACTTCCCAACAAAATTCCAGGACCTGATGACTTCACAGGTCAGTTCTATCAAACATTTAGAGAAGAGTTAACACCTATCCTTCTGAAACTGTTTCAAAAATTTTTAGAGGAAGGAAAACTTCCAAACTCATTTAATGAGGCCACCATCACCCTGATACCAAACCCAGACAAATATATCAAAAAAAAGAGAAAACTATAGGGCAATATCACTGATGAACATAGATGCAAAAATTCTCAACAAAATACTAGCAATCCATATCCAGAAATACACTAGAAGATAATATATCATGATCAAGTAGGATTCAGCCCAGGAATGCAAGGATGCTCAACATCGACAAATCAATCAGTGTGATAAATCACATCAACAAAGTGAAGAATAGGAACTGTATGGTCATCTCAATATATGCAAAAAAAGCTTTTGACAAAATTCAGCAAATATTTTTCATAAAAATTTTGTAGAAAGGGAACAGAGAGGGAACATACCTCAATGTAATAAAGGTCATATATGAAAAAACTACAGC